TTGTTATTGAAATTTATTTCTTATTTCACTACGTCACATTAGTTATTAAAAGTTTTCTGTGAAAATGAACTCAAAATTCCACATTTTCAGAGTCGCTCAATCGTCATTTTCTCAAAAACGACTCCAATTTGTTTCTTCGAAGGTTTCGTGCATATTGTGCTAATTGCACTCTTTGAGATGACATAAAATTCATTTTTCTGTATAATTTTTTTTAAAAATTACATAAATGTATATATCTTACGCCATTAATATACACATTTCCGGCGATTTATAATCACTATCGCACTTGCAAGCAGAAGTGCGTCAAATGACTTCCAATCAAGTTTTTCGAAAACTCAAAAAATTTCTGAGCTTCAAATTTCGCACTTACAACAACGCTTAAACGCCATTTTCTTAAAAACGACTCCAAATTTCTCAATGAAAATTGCTGTTTAGGACGAGGTGTTAATATTCTTTAGTATTCTTAAAGTAATATTTCGGTTCTACTATTAATAAATCATAATTTTGAGATTTAAAAAAAAATATGTCTTTGGGCAGCCATAGATGGCAGCTGGAAAAAGTATGTTTCAAGACAGAAAAGCTAGGTCAGACCAAACAAACTAGAAAATCAAGTAGTACGAGAAAGTCTGTGCCGCTCTGTTGCACCACTAGTTTTACTTGATCATCCAGCGCATGAATTCGCTTTGTGGATTTCGAAATATAAACAACTACAAAGCCTGTCAATGCAGTAAAAAAATACTTGACTTCTTTGTTGCAAGTAGGTAGTGGAGTGGAAGAAAGCGAAGTTTAATTAGTGTGCATAATAGTATACAAATATTGCATATTTGCAATGTAACCCTCGCAATTTTGAATGTTGAATGTTTAGAGTTGCTCTGTCATATGTGCTACCCTACTATATGTCCGAGCTGTTTGTTTGCCCGAACAAGAAAACTTGTTAATTGTATTGTGAGCGTGATGCCGAATAGGGTTAGATTTTCTGTTAGAATTTACGTCCTTGAAGAAAGTGAATCATTCTTCAATTTCCCCATTTACAGATACGTAACGAAAAGCAGTTGACAGTTGTTCTTTTTAGGTGTCATCCAGTATCAAGAAGACCAAACTGGCTTTAGAAATTTCACAGGACATTACTATGCTCACATCTGAAATAAAATCGTTCTTGAATTTTTAGTTTACACGATACACAGTGGAATTTTCCATATGATAGTTGAGAGTTTTATATGTTATTATTTAACTCAGATATGCTATGAAATTTCCTCTGTTTGATCATCCCTTTATTGTCATCATGGCCACTAAATGCAAGCCCTTGTCTTCCTAAAAAGAATGCAACTCGAATGAAGTGTGACAGAATTTTTTCCCTTGCATCACTATTGTGCTACTCAACTGACAGTGTGTGAATTCACTTGTTACCTTCAGAAAATTCTATCCCCTTAGATTTTACAAACATTTTAAAATGTTTCTCACATGTTATGTACAAATACTTATGTGTCTTGATAAAAATTTAATTTTTTCCAATTTTGGAAAACAAGGGAGTATCATTTAAAAGTGACCTACACCATTCTCTTAAGCGTCTTATGCGCTCAGAGGACAAGATTTAATAAAAAATGTTGTGTATTTTATTTTAAATTTTGAAAATGTCCCAGGGAATTCATGTGAAATACTTCCTAAAAATTAAAATATCAGTTTCAAATTAAAAGGGCTGCGGCATCACACAGATGGATTAAGGAATATGAATTTTGGTGAAAATCCTGCTTTCGGTTTCGCTAAGGTTGTTCTCAGTCTGTCGGACTGACAGACGTTTTATCGTCAATCGATTTTCCGATATCAAGGACCCACACAACATGCAATCTGACTACACAACGTGTTAGCGAAAGTAATTGACTATATATAGGGATATGATTTATCCACTTTTTCGGTACCATGACCCAGAAATAAGGGGTTTTCTGTTGAAAATCCGCCGATTTTTCCCGCAGCATTGTAATTCTTTCTCTATACTATGTAAGCAGTAGCGAGAAAGGAAAAACTCAGTAATGCTGTATGGAAAACGTCTCGAGGGCTACTTCAGAACAATTTGTAAACGACAGCTGTAAGACCTTAAGGGCTGGCGAGTACATTCGAGTTAATTTTTAAAAAGGCGTGTACCTTTGGGCACCCCGAGCGTGTCGGGCTGGCGGCCACGATCATGTGCCCGTCGCAAGCCCCTCTCCTCACAACAGTAGATCCCGTTTAATCGGACTCTGTACATTTCTAACGTTAACAGGGTTTTAGAATGGAGAGAAGGTCAAGGAGAACAGTTTGAACAATTTGAAATATTCTCAAAATATTTTTATTTCAGTGAAATTACAAATATATATAAGATTTTTACATACTAAATGAACTACAACACTGACACATTTTTTTAGCACAAACAACGGGATGCTCTTTTGATTTTCTTGTCACTTAAAAAAAAGCTCCAAAGTTTATTTGATACAAAATTCTACATTTAGCATCTAGCAAAAGCAGTCTGTGTAAAGAATTGCTTCTTGTAAATTAGGAAAAATCCTGCTGTTGTGCAACCTCCCTACACTTGTATTAGACAGATAATTTTTTGCACTTTTAATGTAAATAGATTTATATCTATTGCAACGGGATGACTAGGATACAGAAGAATAAATTAAAAATTAAATTAAACTGATTGACTAAACCTATTTCACACAAATGATCAAAAACAATGTTAGAATGAAATTAATCATTAAAATCACAAATTAAAGTTATATTCTTACTGTCTATGACAAAATATATCAATCACAAAACCCGAGAAAGCTGCCATGTCTTATTTCACTAGAGTGTGCGCCGTTTGCATGCAATTGCTCCCAATCCGTCTCTTGCAGGCCTGCCTGGTCCACCCCGTTCGACACTCGCCGACAGTTGGGCAACCCGGGAGGGGGAGGAGAATAACGGAGAATCGAGTGCTGCGCCTGGCGGATGTCAGGGAAATTGCGCAAGTGATAGTCTGCGCCCCCCGTCACACGCCAGTGAAGTCGATAGTTACTGATTCTCTGTGTTCGGTTCTGAAGCATTTTTGAGCTTGAAGTTATTTACCGTAATTGACTTAATAAATAACAACCACAGAAAATTAATTCTTTTATAATGAAAAAAATTATTTTTCTCTGCAACAGCCAATAACATAAAATCACGTTCTGACGTACCTGTTTGTATAACATAAAATGCAATTGAATAGTAAATTTTAATTGTGCATTAATATAAATA